TACTGAGTTTTGGCCACAGGGCCTCTCCTGTCAGCTCGTCCCAGAAGATTCTGCTGTGCGCCCGGCAGAGGCCGTCACTGGCCTGGAGCGTTGGCACCGCCAGGCGGGACACGGCCAGCCGCTCTCCGGAGGGCATCGTCCTTTCCTCCATCAGCTCCGCCAGCAGGTCCACCGTCCGCTCCACGTCGGCCAGGGAGACGCCGCTGGGGGGTGCCAGCGGCGGTAGACCCATGCGGAGCTGGTACGGGGGACGGTCGGCCCGGCCGCCCACCACCAGCGACAGCAGGAGCACCGCTAAGGCCGGCACCACGAGCCGCATGATGAAGCGCTCCAGGAGCGCTGGCCGACGCGGGGCAAGACTGGCGCGCTCGCTGACGACGCAGCCAGATACATAGTCACTATCGCTGGCTGCGGTGAGAGCCGCTGATATGGACCCGTGACGCTCGTGCGCACGCTTAGGTCAGCTTTCGTGGTATCAAAGTGCTCGAGAGCTGCTGCGTCACTTTGGTCATCGGTCGGTGCACCTGTGCGCAGGCGCAGGGGAGACTAATCACATTGTAGATGATGAAGTTACAAATGTTCCTGTATTCAACAGTAAATAAGCATAAAAGGCATTTGCTGAATGTCGTTGCAATATATTGTTATCATCGTTACGTTATCGTTACTATCGTTATACTGCTATCATATTATCGTTGATATTGTCTTATGCCAGCACTACTGACCTGCATCATTGCATGCTTCTAATTTGCAATGTATTATGAAAAACGGTGTTTTTTTATTTCATAAGATGAAAGGTGGTGCTTGTACAACGAAACGACTTAACTCCAATGTTTCGACATTCCGTTCCGGAGTCATTGACCGAACAAAAAGTGCGAAGGTGGAAACATTCCTTTCTTTGATGTATTTTCTGGTTTTAAAGGTTAGTGTTGAGAATCACAATTTGGAATCAAATCACGCCAACAAATCCAAATCGTAGTCTGAAGCTTTCTCAAGCCTTTGTATGCAACAATCTTTAACCTAGACATGTCTACGAAGCAGAAGATCACTGGTTGTCAATTCAGGATAGCGGTATTGTTTGACCTTACGAAGGTCATGGTGACCAAAAATCTGCGACTTTTTATAGTTCAACATACGTCAAGAATCACGCTAGGCTATGTGTTTCTAAAACAAAAGATTGATCGGGGTCACTGATCTGAACATCTGATCTTTATTAAATTCAAATAAAACGATCGCTTGCTTGTCTATGAAAAATGAATTCGAAGTGAGCGTCAAGCTACCCCACAAAGCAAGGTCTTGAGAAAAGCAATTCGGCATTGAGTTCGATCTTATCATTATGCATGGTCCAAGGTAAATGGAATTACTTTAAATTCTGAATTCATTGTTTATTGTCAACGAAACCACCTCAAAGATAAATAGCTATGTCTAGCACTCGTTTGTCGCATCAGATTGAACAATAACCTAGAAACTGTCTTCTGGCTATAATCTACCATAGGTCAGCGTGCATACCATGTACATTTATTTTGTATGCAAAAAGACTGGATATTTCATGGGCTACAGTTGCGGAAAATTTGTCACGACAGCGCTGCGCCGGGAAGTTATTTTCGAAAGCTTTCACGGTGTCAAATTGCCCCTCACCACCTGATCGCGTGCTAACATGATTTAACACGGGCCCGGCTAGCTGGTTGAATACCATACGCTTGGGCGGAGGGGGGGGGGGGAGGAACTTGAGCCCCCTCTGAAATCTTAAAAACTAAGAGAGCTACGAACACCAAATTTACAGGACGGCTTAATCTATATGTGAACGCAGGAGTGACAAAATTGGAGGTTCCTAGGCGATGACCGTTAGGTCAAATAAAGTCCAACAATGTCGGATTCCACAGTGGCATCAAACGTGTTCTCGTGCCGCCTAAGGCGAAAACTTTGAGCCTAAACGCCGTTTTTAAGCAAATGATCAATGATGTTCATTTTATGCCATTTGCCTTTTTAGATCTGTAGAAGGTAAAATGACCAAAACCGACAAGCCCGTTTAATTTTTTAATAATCGTCAAAGATTACGCTTTGTGGTATGTTCCTAACACAAAAGACTGATCTGGGTGATCTTAGGCTAGTAGGCCTCTTTGACCTTTAATAAGTGCTTGGAAGATTCTACGGCGATCCCTGTCACCCAGAAATTCGAAATAAGCACTAGAAACCACCCTTTAACCTGCGCACGGCCTGGGGAAGGCTGGCTTTCCTCCTACGGTTTTTAGAGCACAGGGCAAAACAGACAATAGAAGCAGCACGAAATTTTCAGCACCTGTTCGCCTATCAATTTGGCATCATTTGAGTAAATTTAAGATTTGATCCACCAAGATCAGTGACTTATGCCCCGTCAAAGAGGTCAGCCTCTAAAAAGCTTTGACCACGCACCACTTTTATGTGGATCATTTTTCGTCGTCCAAACTCGTTGAGGAAACGGAAAATGATAGTACCTTTTTGGATTCCAGATTTGTTTTGGAAAATGCAAGGTTATTGACCTGAGATCAGCTTTTTGGAGATTTTTTCGTATATAATGCAAAACTGTACAATTTTTGTGTAGTTTTGCTGTTTATATTGAAAAAGTGCTAACCTACATGCACAACCATCTTATGATTACAGAGCACATGGCATTAGCCCAGGTCATGACCGATCTCTATGCGTGCCTTCTATAAAGCACATACTGAGCCCAAAATTGGTGGTTTAGGGATAATTTTGGACGCATAATTCGAAAACTTTAATGAAAACATGTTCTTATATCATTGGAATGCAAAATGAGGTCACAATAGGTAATGTACGGACATGCAAGGTCATATAATACCGTCCAAAGTCAGCAGACTATGTTATCAGCAGCGGAAAGGCTAGATAAACGAGTACGACGTGTGTAACCACCTCCTTATTGCTAATGTGAAGCTGATAACGTCCAATTTCATGCACCAAAGTACTTGTCCTCATATTCTTACAGATGCATTGTCAAGTGTGGAAGGGACTATACATAATGTAGACAACAGTTGTGAGATATGAGTACCTGCAAATATGCCTCTGTTTCACCAAGTCATCAACTTGGGGGCAGTCTAGAGATTCCAGATCCAGTGTTATGATTTAGTTCCTTTTGATGCCAGAGGCAATCTTGGTGGCAAAATTCTTGAAAAGTTAAAATGCTTTTTGAATCCTCTGCACCTGGCCCTCGATCGCGCCACCCCATACACATGTACAATAAGTTACACGTGAAAAGAATGCGTACTTCGTTAATTATTTTAAGATCACCAATTGTATGCTGTTTGTCGAGCAAGTAGTAAACAAAACAAATAATCTGATGCACAATACATTATTTCTGACCACAGAAAAATATTACTCTGGTCACATACTCGGTTAGCATTTCAGTTTTTTTTTCTCTTTTGGATGACTTATTATTTTAACCTGAGTTGACCTCAGATGACCTCTAGGCCACCCGAAAATGGCGTTGTTGTGTCTCGTGTCCGAAATACGTTTATCCTGCAGCTGGATGTAATCAAATATATTTAGTCAGAAGGACATCAAGCTGCTTTAGTCTACGAAAACCAAAAGCATCGTTTTTGTAGACTGTTGATACAACAATTTTGAATGGTAACCCGGTCTTTCCTGATCCATGGGGGGGGGGGGGGAATGGTCGGAGTGGACTCCCTGCAGCCTGCAAGCCTAGTTCCCTGCCCTCAATATCTATCTTGACGTGTTAGTATAGGTTTTAACTGCATCTATCGGAACGACCGTCTCCTACCTTTCGTGGCCTCTGGTGACCTCAGCAATTTTAACTCAAGTCAAAAGTTCAGTATGCATTCTTCATGATCTGATGAGTCCTTCGAAGCAGTGCCCCTGTTTTTCTCATACGGCATCTGGGAGTTGGAGATCTCAGGGGACATATATTCCGCCGGCCGGGCGAGGGTTTAACAAGGCTATTCAATAAAAAGCACGCTGTTCTTGACCTCGGTTTGACCTTCATACCTGACTCAAGGTCAATAGAACGTGATGCAATCGTAAATTCAATTTTCTGAGAAAATTCTTTGAGAGAATCTCGAGGTCTAAGACACTATCTCGAAGATGTATGGCTTCGTCTAACACTCCGTGGTCGCATCAGATTGAAAGCTCCCCAGAAATTGTCCTCACTGACAGCCATGGCCTGACTTTGACCTATCATAGGTCAGGGAACTGACATAACGCACCCCATTTTGATATTAAAAGGTTCGCTACTCAACTGCCTACATCTCTGCAAAGTTTGGCACGGCTACACTGCGCCGTTCGGAAATTATTTTTGAAATAAAGTTGGCCCCAAAACATTTATTGTAAGGGGGCCTTCTATAAAATTAAGTTGGCCAGGTTCGGGGGTCAAACTGACACCCATCCGGGCTCGTGTGAGTTAGGCAAGAAAAAATACTAGTTATCCCTCAGCTGGCTGACGTTCCCGGCTGGCAGTGTTAGTTGGGCATCATAAAGAATTCGTGCTGTTCAAGGCCAAGGGAAGTCGTGATCATTTAGCTACCATTTTATAACGAATGCCGTAATAAATCTTGGGCACCCTCTCACCGCCAGGGAAGGGCACCTTCTCCCCGGTTAGACAAGGTCAAGAAAACGGGTGCGTGTAAGGGGAGGGGGCCTTTTTTAAATAGTTCATTCCAATGCACAACCATAGCAGAGGAACCGTAGCATTTCCGAGACGTGCGTCGTTGTGCGACGTGACCGCCTGTCACGTTCTCCCCAACTCCGCCTCTGTCACCTGATGCAGCTCCGTCTGGCTCCGCCCACGCCTCAGCGCGCGGTGAATCCCAGGCGCCTGCAGACAGCCCCGCACCTCGGCCGGACGTGGGCGTGACGTCACTGTCGACCGGCAGCCGTCTCCACTGCGCCTGCGCCGCGCGGCCATGAAGCTGACGCTGCCGGCGCTGCCGGCGCTCCTGCTGGCGACCCTGCCGGCCTTCTCATCGCCGGCGGGCGCGGAGCGGAAGGTGGACATGCTGGCGGAGCTGCTGGAGGAGAGGACGCTGCCCTCCGGAGAGCGACTGGCCGTGTCTTGCCTGGCGGCACCGACGCTCCAGGCCCGTGACGACCTCTGCCGGGCGCACAGCAGGATCTTCTGGGACGAGCTGACAGGAGAGGCCCTGTGGCCAAAACCCAGTAAGTTGTCACTAGATGGAAGTTCCGCATCGCCGTTGATTCTCTGTTGTAATTTATGACATAGGCCTGTGCAGATGGAGTGGTAAACTGCGTCGCAATGTGAACAGACGCCTGCACGGTCATGGTGGGAAGCGTCCGTCTCACGAGCGAAAGCAGTCACCCGTGAGCTCTGCAGGAGCGGATGCAGAGAGGGTTCCAGAGAATTACGGTCCTCTTCTGGGTTACCAATGAGATTTTAGGGTTTGAAAGGGACATCAAAGTCTCGTCAGAGTGGAGCGCGAAAAGAGAAATTTTCTTGCACGGTGGTCTTTCTTGTAAACAGCTCCAAAATCCTAGGGGGCATCACAAGGGGTCTATAAATCTTCGTTTCGAAGAGGCACCAACGCCACCAGCTCCAACGTTATAATGGCCGTATTGTGTGATGTTGCCTAAGCCATTACTATTCAGAACTCTTTCCTTTTTATTGGATTTAGACAGTTTCAAGAATTTTAAAATTGAAAGAAAGAAAAAAGAGCAAGAATTTGAAAATTATACGGCCAAAGTGCGTGGATGCTTTGGGAGCCGGGAGGACATGGAGCACCAAGTACTAAGGAACATCAGATGGCCTGTGTCAAGTGTCCCTGATAGAATCAATGGTGATGGCATCAATTTATTGATTTTGTTGGGATTATTACGTTGGCCAATGCTGGTCATCGTTCACTTACAGTTACTGATCGAGGTGGTCTGTTGTCCGAAACTGTCTCGGAAACTGCATCACCAGGCTTAATGAATTAAGCATGATGGCAAAGTTTGGCACACGCGAACCACCTTACTTTACTGAAGGCATTCACCCAAGTATCCTATCTTGCCTGACCCTAGTCTATCTTGACGATCTTAGCTGGCCAAATCCTACCGTAATACTACGCGGCATATTGTTGACTTCGGTCTCAGATTCAAATGAGTTGAGTTGCATGTCTGAAAATCAATCATGTTTCAACAGGCTTGTTCAGGTAAGTTTGTCTATTATAATTCGCATTGTTTGGTGATCCATTAATTAAAGTACAAAGCCTAACTGGAACCCGGAACATGGAACGTTTGTAGGGATACTTGATGCAAACGATTTTTACCAAGGTATTTTTAACAGATTATTCCAGCTTACTCGTGCTGAAGAAAAATGTTAACATTTTGCACATTGGTAACAGTGGAATAACAGTGGAACGTCCAGTGACATTTACACGGTGACTAGATCGCGAAACAAGAAGGCCATAATTCGTGCCAAATAGGCACACAATGGCAATCAAGAACATACAAAGTCAGTGTCCTTAGTTTCATGTGAAGCAAATGTTCCCGACTATCCCTTTAAGGGCCAGCTGCTTCAGTGTCTGTGCTTGGAAAGCTTAAGATTACGAATGAAAATCTTTCCCCTAAGTTTGCTTATGCATGCCCAAAAGACTTCAGCAAAATTTCCTTCCATATTGACATGTCAGGGATTGCATGAAATCCGTGCTTGGTCCGAAAATGGAGCCCAACCACGTTGCTTATATCCTCAACGAACGCCGCGCGGCGATGGTAGAACAACCTTCCACGGACCGGACGGATACGCTCTCCTATGTACTAAGCCAAACGCAGAGCACATGTGAATTCTGACCGGACCAATGAAGTTCTGCGTCTGGACCAATCCAATCTGACCTCCTGACGCTCTGCGTTTGGACCAATCGAGAGCACATGTGACTTGATACGCTGCATGGCTGGGGATCAGCTGTTATCAAATCCAGAGGCACACGGGACGTAGCTGCTCCCCCCCCCCCCCCTGATCGAGCACGTTGGTCTGCACCACTCTGTCACATCTATTGTTGGGTATGTCTGTCATACTCAAGTCACATGTACTCTGTAGTAAGCCGATGCGGACTACATGTAACTTGATACCCCGCATGGTTGGGGGACCAACTGCTTTCAAATTCAGAGGCACACGAGACGCAGCTGCCCCTCCTGATCGAGCACGTCGGTCTGCGCTGGTCGGTGCGCACCAGCGACTGCTGTCGTGCGTCTGGATTGGCCCAGATGTTCCAGACGTTCTACGTCATTATTTTGTTACGAATAGCTTTTTTTAGAATACCTCGCGACATAGCTTGTCTTCGATGGGGGTAATGTGAGGTACACCATTTGCTATTTTATTTTTTGTGGTAGGTGATCTGGATGGCAACGCTGGTGAATTACTGAGCTCTATGATTGCAATTAGCCCGAGGGATATCTTTTGTTTTATAAGCATGCACGATAGACACTGTGCTGCGGCTGGTGGCCTGGGGCGTGGATGAAAGATGAACAGGCTGGCATCAGTCCTGTTGCTGCGCTTTTGTTAACGTTCTTGCGCGTTTCGAGCGTGAGCGGATGAAAACACAAGGTGTATCCAGAATGCAGTGTCCAACTGTCCTCAACGTGCCGGCTCAGCAGACACGTGAGACAAAGTCCTTGCTCCATTCCAGTGTTCGACGCCATTGGAAAGCTTCCCGACGGCGTACTGGCGGGGAATACCAACACCCTCGGCTCGTTCGACGAGTGCCTGAGCGTCGACGTGACCCTGAACGCGGCCAAGTACCCCGACGTGCCCGCCCGGGGGCTGCACTTCGTGGGTCGGTACGTTCCCGTCACCGTTAAGCCGAACCGGAGCGCCTTAGAAGACCCGTCTGAGGACGACGGTGGAATCGTCGCCGTCGCCATCCTGCCCAGCGTCGGCAAGGCTACCGGTGTCATCGGCATGTGCGTGCCGTCCAGCTGCTCCGGCGATGACGTGGCGCGCGGGCTACAGCTGCTGCTCGGCAGAAAGGTGTCAGTGTCGGCGCTCCAGTCGACGACATCGGAGGATTCTGTGGAGTTCACGTCGCCGGACAGGGCCGTCATCACCATCATGGCCCTGTTCGGCGGTCTCATGGTGGCGGGCACCTGCCTGGACCTGCACTACAGGGGCTGCACCCGACGCCTGATGGCGATGCTGCAGCTGAAGCCGTGCGCATGCGTGCCCGGCGCCGATCCCCCGGCCGGTCAGCAGGGAGACGCGTCAGACGCAACCCAGCCGCCGAGGCTGTCAGCGCTTGGACGTCCTCAGCAGGCTCTGCTCGCCTTCTCAGTGTACAGCAACACTCGGAAGCTGTTGGACACGACGCCACGGGAGGGGACGCTCGCCTGTCTACACAGCATCCGGTTCTTCTCCATGACTTGGGTTGTTCTAGGTCACGCGGCTTTCGCTGCATTCTCCACTGACTACAGTCCCATGGCTGCGTTTAAATGGGGCAGGAATCCTTTGTTTGAGGTTGTATTGAACTCTTTGCTGAGCGTGGACACATTCTTTTTGCTGTCAGGTTTAGTACTGGCCTACAGTTTCTGTAACGCTCATCAGAAAACCGGGAAGCTCAACTTGCCCATGCTCTACATACATCGCTACCTGCGACTGACAGTGCCATACGCTTTCATCACAGCCATCACCGCCACACTGTTTTTGCACCTTGGTAGCGGCCCGCTTTGGAGCTTCGCGAAATTCCCGCAGTCCCGGTGCCAGGAGAACTGGTGGAAAAACCTCCTCTTCGTTCAGAACATCGTGGATCACAAGCGGGGGTGTCTGGGCCCGACCTGGTACCTCGCCGTCGACACGCAGCTGTTCGCGTTCTCGCCGCTGGTGCTCCTGCCTCTGGTGTGGCGGCCTGTGCTCGGTGTGCTCTGGCTGTGCGCCGTCACCGTCGGGTTCATGGTGCTCCGCGTGGCGATCTGGGCCGGCGGTGATCTCCCGCCGCTGCAGTTCCATTTCAGGTCGGAACGCAGTGACCTATGGGCTCGTAACTACAAGTACCCGTGGATGCGCTGCACGGTGTGGCTGGTAGGCATCGGGCTCGGCTTCCTCCTGCACAAGCTGCGCGGCAGACGAGTCACGCTGAGGCCGTGGCAGTATCTGCCCGGCTGGATCGCCGCCTTCGCCGTCGGCATCTCCGTCGTGTACGGCATGTACGGCTACCAGATGCCCTGGGACCCGACGCCGAGCAAGGCCGTGGCCGTGGCGTACGGCGGCCTGCACCGACTGGCCTGGGGCCTCGCCGTCTCCTGGGTCATCTTCGCCTGCGTCACCGGCTACGGCGGCGTCATCAACACGTTCCTCTCGCACCCGGGCTTTGTGCCCCTTAGTCGGCTCACCTACGCCGGATATTTGATACATGGCGACGTCCTGTTCTTTGGAATATACTCACACAAAAGCTTGATCTACTATGACGAAGTGCGGCTGGTTTATTGGATACCGTCGCAAATGTTGGTTACCTTTGCTTTTGCTTATCTTTTTTCTTTGTCCTTGGAGGCTCCTTTCGACAATATCGAAAAGATTATGTTTAAAAAATGTTCCCCAAAACCTCAAACCCACACCAATGCCGGTTCCAACGCTCATAACCACCGTCATCGCTCCCAAGAAGTCGTTCAGGAAACGGAGCTTACGCTGATATGAGAACCATGTGATCCGGTCAGTATGTGTGCGAGGTCAGGAAAACCTGATAAGTTGTTTATATGTTACTCTGGAAGTGAATAAACCATCCACATCCTCGTGGTTTTCGGTAGTCATCCGAACGTCTCATAGTTTGCTTATGGCACGTCTAACACACCGACTGTTGCGATGTGCGTTTGTGTTTTTGATTTGCAGTTCCAGGGCATTACAGGTTTTCTTTTTCTGGGGACCACTTACAGCCCCCTTCAATGCCTGAGCGACTTGACGGAAGCATCCGCAGAGCGGGAGACTGATAGGGACATTTAAGAATACATTTACAAACCGAAGAACGTAAAGGATCAGTTAAAACCAAAGAAATGAAGATCTATTTAAGCAAGAATTACAATAAACCAAGGAAAAAGAGTACGTCGTACCAGACGGGATGTAATGGCTACCATGACTAGCTAGAGCTGCCACGACCAAAACGGCGGAAAAGAGACAACCAAGTGTCGAGCCAGAGCTCGGCACGGGGACGCCCGGCCCGGCAGCGTGACAGAGCCGCGGTCCTGTTCACATGATGCCTGGTGAAGAGGTTTTTCCCGTTCACTCACGGCCCTGGCTTACATTTTTCAATACTGGACACCGTGTTCAATACAAGTCACCGTGGGATGTCGGGTGCCGGGATGCTGCGGTCTTTACGCTTCAATACAAGTCACCGTGGGATGTCGGGTGCCGGGATGCTGCGGTCTTTACGCTTCAGTACAAGTCACCGTGGGGTGTCGGGAAGAACAGATCCACCCTTTTTAGAAAAAGGCCTGATTGATCTTGCACGTGATATTTTAAAAGCCTCACCATTTCCGTCAGGGCTTTTTTCTGGTTCTAAACACCACCCAGCATCCAATCAGGTTTATTGATGTTTACACATTGTGACATCAAACACGGCGGCTCACAACAGGACATGTAACAAGCAGGCTTGTGCGGTCACGTGGGACCCATTCGATTTACGGACGGTCATGCCGTACATGATAGATGAAGTTGTTTATTTGGAACCACATTAGTTCGCATTAAAGTTGTAGCAAACGTTCAAGTACTCTTCCAATGCTTCGCCAAGAGCAGAAACGTTTACAAACAGCCCGTTGCCCTCCCACGGAACAACGCTTTCCTCTAAGAGCGGCGGGGCACTACTGACGTTGTCCACTATCCTGCCAGTGGCGCTGGGACCGCCCACCAACGAAGACGAGGCCGCATCTGTCGCCAGCGACAGCCGCTTCTCGAACGACCGCTGCAGCCGCAGAATGTCGTCGGTTTTGCACACGATGCCGCCGCCTGTACCGCGCTCGTTCGAGTCCATGGCCGACATGGACTTGGACCGGACCCGGGCGGCCCCCTGCGGCTTGCCCAGCTGCACGCTCGGGCTGCGCTCGCTGTGGCACTGGATGGTGACGCGACGAGACCGTTCGCTCAGCACGCTCACCGGCGGCGCGTCCAGCCTCCGCAGCAGGCAGCGCACGCGGCCGGCGGCCGGCAGGCGCTGAGCCGCATTTGTCAACCCCAACAGTCGCACCGCCGGCGCCGACAGGTTCCCGTTACTCAGGTCGGACACCACCAGCTCGGCGGCGTGCTGACGCAGTTGAGGTTTGCAGCCGCGCCGCTGGGCGTCGCTGTGCCGCCGGTCGCCAGTGCCGGACCCGGCCGTCGCGCGGCGCTCGGGGCGCAGCAGCGCCGGCATCGGCCGGTACTCGAGGATGTCGCTGTGGCGGCGGTGTGCGGCGGCGGCTTTCCGACCGCCTGCCGGAGGCGACCGTGACGTCACACTCAAGCCAGCAGGCGTGCTGAACACGACGGCACGCTTGCGTGTGCGCGGGGAGGCCGCCAGAGCCGGCGGCTGCGGTGCGCCTGGACCGGGCCCATGCCAGACGACCGCCGCCGGCTCCGGCTGCGAGGTCCTCCTACCGACGCCGGCCGCCATCGCCAGCAAGCTGCCGGCCGGCGGCGCGTCGCGCTCGCAGCTCCAGCTGTTCTTCCTCCGGCTGCTGGCAGCGGGCGGGCTGAGCGAGGCGACCGTGCGCCGGCGGTGATCCCGCTGCTCCACAGCCGAGCCATCCGCAGCGCAGCGGGCGGCCGGAGGCTCGACCCGGCCCGGCGGCGCGGCGCCGCCCCGCTGCGGACAGGACGGCCCCGGCTGGGGCGGTGACTCGCAGAGTGGTGCTGCCGGCTCCGCCTCAGCCAGCTCCACGACGATGCGGGGCGGCTCCAGGCGACGCCAGCGCGCCCTCGTGGCGACGCGCGGCGGCCCGGTGGGCCGCGGTGTCGGCGGGAAGGAGACGTGGCGGGTGGGGCCGCTCAGGGCGGTGCTGTCGCGCAGGCCCGACGCTCCCATCACGACAGCTGACTAGGGGGCGCCGGTCCTTGCGCTGTTCGGGTGACAAACAAGCTTCTGCCAGACCTCGCCGCCTTACAGGAACTCAGCGTAGCTTGCTGTGCTCTGCAGAGCGCAGTGGCCCTTTCTCGGCAGGCAGACAGGCGGCGGGGCCTCGCCGCTGTACGCAGCAGCCGATGGCGAGCCTCGTTGCTGTGCGCAGCAGCCGATGGTGAGCTCTGCAGCTGTGAGCAGCAGCTGATGGCGAGCCCTGCCGCCGTGCGCAGCAGCCGATGGCGAGTTTCGTCGCTGTGAACAGCAGCCGATGGTGAGCCCTGTCGCTGTGCACAGCAGCCGATGGCGAGCCTCGCCGCTGTGCGCAGCAGCCGATGGTGAGCTCTGCAGCTGTGAGCAGCAGCCGATGGCGAGGCCTCCGCCGCTGGTGGGGAGGCTCAGTCAGGCTCAGTCCGCTCGGCCCGGTGGCGGTCGGTGGACGTGCAGACTGATCTGGAACGAACGGGGACGCTCAGTCAGCAGACTGCTGGCCACCATGGTCAACAATTCGCCTCATACCAGACCCATGCTCGGCTCCGATGCGTCAGCCATGCCCTGTGAGCCGCAGCATTTTCGGAAAAGTTGCAAGTCAATCGATTCTGTCTTAAACAAATTTAATCTGAATCATGATTTTGATCCTCTTGTCTTAAGGCTAAATAAAGCCATTCATTTTTCGACTTCTCTGTTAAAATTTTCCCACGCCTGAATTTTATTGGCATAGACGGAGATATCCTAGCAGACCTCTGACCTTTGCTGGCATGTACGGACATGTCCTTCCAAACCTTACCAGCACAGCGCTCATGAATGGTGTTTGACTGTTATGACCTTTTATACGGGACAAGAAGTATCTGTACATCAGCTAAGTACGCAAAAAGTCATCTAAGGCATGACCTATGTAATTACTTTTGAACCTTTCAAGTCGGTTTGATAGATAACCATTTCTACGTTATTGATTTTTAGACACAAAAAGTTTGATGGCTTGATGTATAGTTATTTTTTTGTGTCCCGTTGAGGTAGAGTTACTTGCTGCTGATTGGCATTTTAGCAAAGTATCGATAAAAATGGAGATATTTAATCAGGTCGATGTCTGGGTTTTGTGTATTTGTTAGTTAATGTGCATTAACTGAGGGTGTAAAAATGTTATCGATAAATGCTGTCTAAATGAGGTTGCACTGTTTCCTTTGGTAACTGAACTTGGCTCATCCCCACAGTCAAATTGCCAATCTTCCCCAGCGTCTCTCCTGAATCCACTGACTTTCACATGCATCTAAGTCACCAAAATTGTCTTGTCATGCCTGGTACCAAATCTGTCAAAAAGCTTACTCCAGTCCCACATTGTAGGGGTATATTCAACGCACATGTGGACATGTCTGTTTCGCACAGAGCTTCACCTGTCTCAACAAGCATTCCAAAAACCGGTTCTGGAACCGCCCCCGGATCATATAGAGTTTAATATATGTCGGGTGGTTTCACACTGATGATTAGGTGAAAGCCACTGGGCTTCAGCACAACGTCTCAAACGATTTTCAATGCAGCCGAAAAACCTACCGTAGTTTATTTGGTATCTGCGTGGCAAAGGGCATAACGTCTGCGCTCCACGTCTCAGAGACTTGAAACTTATCATGCTTTGGCTTATGACTTCATGTGTAAGATTACGCTGCTTGATGAAGGCTGGGAAAAAGAGCAAGCAAAACATAAGAGCTGCTCGCTCATTCTCTTTCCCTCTGTGCCTCCTCTGATGTGTTTTGCTCCTCCACCGGCCACCACTGACTGCACCTCCGTTGTCGGCCATCGGCGGTGTGCGCTAGAGGCCCGGGGCGCGCCCCACCCGCGGCCACCACGCAATAACGTGACTCCGATTGACCCTGGGCAAACACGGCCGCGGAAGATCAGTCCTGAAAGGGGAGGGGCGGACGGGAGCCAGCGCGCCACTCAGCTGTCACTGACGTCACCGCTGGCCCGGCTCAAATGGGGCCGGCCCGCGGGGTGGCACACGCTGTCCTGATTTAAACTCTCGGAACGGGCGCGTCCAGCCACTCGGATTCAGGCGGGTGGCGGCCACCGGGGTGGCACACGCTGTCCTGATTTAAACTCTCGGAACGGGCGCGTCCAGCCACTCGGAGTCAGGCGGGTGGCGGCCACCGGGGTGGCACACGCTGTTCTGATTTAAACTCTCGGAACGGACGCGTTCAGCCACTCGGAGTCAGGCGGGTGGCGGCCACCGGGGTGGCACACGCTGTTCTGATTTAAACTCTCGGAACGGACGCGTTCAGCCACTCGGAGTCAGGCGGGTGGCGGCCACCGGGGTGGCACACGCTGTTCTGATTTAAACTCTCGGAACGGACGCGTTCAGCCACTCGGAGTCAGGCGGGTGGCGGCCACCGGGGTGGCACACGCTGTCCTGATTTAAACTCTCGGAACGGGCGCGTCCAGCCACTCGGATTCAGGCGGGTGGCGGCCACGACACTGGTGTACTGTCACGGAGTGCTCGGCGGTTAGCGTGTGTAGACGGTGGTGTACCGCCACGGAGTGCCCGACGGTCAGTGTGTGTAGACGGTGGTGTACTGCCGTGGAGTGCCCGACGGTCAGCATGTGTAGACGGTGGTGTACCGCCACGGAGTGCCCGACGGTCAGCATGTGTAGACGGTGGTGTACTGCCGTGGAGTGCCCGACGGTCAGCATGTGTAGACGGTGGTGTACTGCCATTGAGTGCCCGACGGTCAGCGTGTGTAGACGGTGGTGTACTGCCGTGGAGTGCCCGACGGTCAGCATGTGTAGACGGTGGTGTACCGCCACGGAGTGCCCGACGGTCAGCATGTGTAGACGGTGGTGTACTGCCGTGGAGTGCCCGACGGTCAGCATGTGTAGACGGTGGTGTACCGCCACGGAGTGCCCGACGGTCAGCATGTGTAGACGGTGGTGTACCGCCACGGAGTGCCCGACGGTCAGTGTGTGTAGACGGTGGTGTACCGCCACGGAGTGCCCGACAGTCAGCATGTGTAGACGGTGGTGTACTGCCGTGGAGTGCCCGACGGTCAGCATGTGTAGACGGTGGTGTACTGCCGTTGAGTGCCCAGCGGTTCTGACCTGTGCTACGATGCTCGGAGTCAGAGTCGGGACGCGTTTTGATGTGGGCTGAGCGTGTTGGAAGCGCTGTGTTGAAAGCGCTGCAGCGCCTGTTAGGCTATGACATCGCACAGCGTCCTCTCGTCAGGAGACTGACCAGGCGCCTTCGGAACACGTTTTACGAAGGCCGCTCAGTTGGCTTGTAGAGTACGGCACCTGCAAGCATCTTGTGACGTGCATCTTGGTGTGAGAGGAAAATACGTTTAATCATCATTTCATACGCAAAATGGCACACTTTCGCCTGCTCTTCTAGCTGGTATCCCATCCATGAAAGACCAGAAATCGCGACGGAAAATGTCATCATCAATAAGGCGTCCATTTTCCAAGGCTGAACGGACATCAGTCGTCAAACTCTATCGCGGAGTATAACAAAATACACCAGCACTCGTCTTCTACATCTGGCAATGGTGACCCAGGTACGTCACGGCCGGTGAACGGCCGGCGGCGATGATGCGTGGAGAGGCTGGTGATTATCGCGGGGCTCGCTGGTCGGTGACGCGCGATCCGGCAGACACACCGACCGCACCGTACCGGCGTGGCCCGCCGGCGCGGAAGGCGTGCGGTACCGGGGGGGGGGGGGGGGGGGTCATGGGGATGCAGGTGGACACTGGAACGTCCTCTGAATTTTTTGGTATTTTGTGCATGCATATATGCGCATATTCAAGGCTTCCTACAAATGGGTGAAAATGACCCCGGCATGGGTCCGAGCCTTTGATAAATTTTAAGGAATTATATAGTGTTAATATATTCAGGCACACATATATATATATATATATATATATATATATATATATATATATATATATATATATATATATATATATATAAGACGTAACGAGCGCCAAACGTAATCCCGGCCGCTCGGTTCCTCGGATCCCGGGATCCACCATGTCCGTTCCACGTAATACGGGGACCACGTAATACGGGGTCCCAAACGTAATATATATATATATATATATATATATATATATATATATATATATGGACGTATAAGAGATACAGACATAATAAGGCAAATTAAGCATCATTTCATATACTATACAATATATACAATTATTGCATATTATACGTCCCCCAACATGCCTCACTATACAGAGCATAGTAAGACAAACGAAATATTAGGGATAGATTCAATTTAACTGAAAAATTCGTGGTTGGGATTAACAGAGACCATCGATTCCTCTATAATTCTGCGATCCACAATCCATCAGGCAGCCTGGCCGCGCGAGGAGGTGGAATACTCCGATGCACCATATGGACCATCTCAAGCTGATGGCATACGCTCGCTGTCTGTTCCCATAGATTAGTTTAATAGCGCACCGAAGCACCGCGGTCGCCCAGCTCTGCGAGCGCCAAACGTAATCCCGGCCGCTCGGTTCCTCGGATCCCGGGATCCACCATGTCCGTTCCTCGGATCCCAGGATCTACCACGTTGGTTCCTCGGATCCCGGGATCCACCACGTCCGTTCCTCGGATCCCGGGATCCACCACGTCCGTTCCTCGGATCCCGGGA